TATATATATCTATTTTTACAAATGATATATTTATCATTCTATATTAACTTTTGTATAAAAATAATAAAATAAAGCGTCAAATAAATTAATAATGTGTTTTTGATAAATTAACTTATTATTCGTTGCAATATAGTAAAGGTTTCATTACGATAAAAGTTTAGTACGCATGTGTAACCACATTCGTTTTATTTTAACCCGTTATATTATGCATACTATACTGTGTGTATATATATATATTTATTTATTTATGCATAATAATGCATAGGAATGAATGTGTGTTCAGTTTTGATCATCACTATATATATATATATATATTACAAAATAACGTATATTATATACAATATATGCACAAGTTTATTCTAGCTACAATTAATCACACAAATATGTTTGCATAGGTTATCTACATGATTTTTATCATTACATATATTTTTATAATTTGAGATTAAACAAATCAATAAGATTAATTATATTTTATTGAAATTCTAGATAAAGTACGCCATTTGTAATTCAACGTGTATATATATAATGTATCATCGTTCTATGATTGGATTTTATTTCTTTTTTTGCTTCTGATCATAAATTATGTTAGTGGAAGTACCCATTAATCATTCAACAAAGCAAAGAGTTTATGCATTGTGATAGAACGAAGTATTCTTCAAGATTACTATGAATCAGTAATTATATTACAATAATAATATATACATGCATTCGCAAAAACATCAATAATAATATTTATATAAATACTTTAAACGTTATGCAGGATCTTACAATATAATCTTAATATTTAAAAATAAGAAAATAATAGTTATTTATATATTTATTGATAGAAACAGTAGTATACAATAGTATTTAAAATTAATTTATCTTATGAGTTACTTGAGAATTTACGTCTATAATAGTTATATCATTACTCGCTATGACCAGCAGCTCTACGTAACAAGACATAGATTTTTTCTTTAATCCAATCCTTATTATATGGGGCATAAGTGTTTGTAGATTTTTGATATACCAAACATGATATGTCTGTCAGTTGATCAACAAAATCAAATAACTGGCTAATATCATATGTGATTGTCGGTGTATTTGGATTTCTTTTTTTCAAATGTTCCTCATAAATTTTACATACACCTATACAGATAAGAAATTTTAAATAATGATCATCAATAATTTTGGATCTTATTAAATATATAACTTAAACTAAACATACACGCAATATTTCATTAAGGACATCAATGTCTTGTAAAAAAGTGACCTTATATACGATTAAATATTTCATAATATTACCTATGGTAAATCGAGTAATTTTTTTTAACAAAATTGTTTTATATCAACATAGATAACAAAAATATTTTGTGTTTTCAAATAGATTCTATGTATATATAAGAATAATAAATATTAAATAATTGATTACCTTCCATGCACTCGTTGACACTTTCGTAATCTGAAAATGTTCTTGTTTCTGGTCGGTTGCCTGGCTGCACGAGTAATATTGTATGTGACTGAAATAAATATCTAATTCTTAGTGAAAACAAAATATTCTAATAAAAATGTATTAAATATTATATGAAATTATTTTCAAATAAATATCATAACTTTAGATACTTCAATTTGAAAGTACAAAGAAAAGTTTGTAACTATATTTAGAAATATATTAAATATATCATAATACACAAAGTATAGTAAAGCAAAAAGAAAATTAAATAAATAAATAAAACCTAAACGCGCGCGATGATTTAACGAAAAATGATATTTTTAATAATACAAATATGAACAATATAAACACACACAGTTGATTTCACGAACAATCATATAACAACATTACCATTTCTGCGTTTTAATTAAAACAATTTTCTTTCGATAAAATCAGGTAGACACCGTGATTATATATTATATTAATAAAACTATTTATTTAATTTGATTAATTAATAATCACAATAAAATCACAAGTCTAGAATTTTCGATATACGATTGAGATGTGTGTACCATTTAGTTTTCTCCTTAGAATACAAAAGATTAAGAAGGGAATCAAAGGTTTGTAAAACTCAAAATTTATTTTAGTTCCATACGACGATAGTCAGTTTGATGCTTAATTATCTAAACAATTAATAACATTAAATGTAATTTGTGGTTAAATAATGTGAAAAGTATATTCAATATAATTTTAATAATGATCGATTTGAATAATTTAATGATTATATATTCATCAAAAAGTACACAGTGTAAAAAATGTATCTTCGATTAATATATTTTTTAAAACTTGGCGCGTATGAAACTGGCGAACCAATCATATTACATTATAACAATATTACAATTGTTTTATGTTACAATAACGGAGCTAGGCTTCGTGGTTACAATAAGGAATGTTTTTTCTCTTTAGTTTTTTTATTCTAGGATGTTTTTATCTTTATCTAATTGTTAACTAAAAAAAGAAAAATTGAAAAGTTTCTATCTATCTACCCATCTGCTTTTCCGTGAAGATTTTAGAATATTTCATTGGTTCTCATCATCTAATATCCAATATTTCTAGCCAATGAATTTCTTCGATTTGAAGTGACGTTTTAGTACACAATTAGATTCGATTTGTTAAAAATTTACTATCACATTGTGATAGAGCAAGATAGTATCAGTAACCTCAGAAACGAGGAAGATAATTGAAGAGAGGGCGAGTAAATCGGATCGAAAGAAACGGCGGCGCGGCTTTCTTGAATCAAATATGAAACCTAAATCAGAATTAACAAGTGAACCTGTTTGGGTTAAACTACAAGAAACTTTTAACACCACGGGATCTCAAATTAACATATATAATTTATTTAAACAGGATCCTAATCGTTTTCAGAATTTCAGGTACGTGCAGTCGTATTCTTAGCATATGACCTTGACGTGACCCTTCTAAGATTTTTTAATATATTTAAGTAAAAAAATATATTAATATGTTATCGCAATGTCATTACTTAATTGTCATTTAAATTCCTTTAATTTTTTTATCTAAGGGATAACAGTATTAAAAGTTTATAATCTATTATTGCAAAAATGACATAATTTAAATTATTAGGCTGTAAGTTATTATAATTATGTACCTTCACATAAAATGCATAATATATAAATATATATTTTGATAATTTTTGTGTACTTTATCTTTTTTAGTTTAGAAATTTCTACTCCGCAAGATGGAACCATTTTACTCGACTACTCTAAGAACCGAATTACAAAGGAGATACTTGATTTATTACTCAATTTGGTATGATCAATATTATTTTTTATGTTCAGAAATAGATGATATTGTTAATACTATTAATGTTAATATTAATAATCATATATTTGATATTTCATTTAGGCCCGTGCAAGACAAATCGAAGAGGCACGGAATGCAATGTTCTCAGGCGAAAAGATCAATTTTACCGAAAACAGAGCAGTCTTACATATAGCTTTACGCAATAGAAGTAATACTCCCATTTTACTCGATGGTAAAGATGTTATGCCGGAAGTGAATGCAGTTTTAGAGCACATGAAACAATTTACTGACGAGGCAAGATATTTGATCACGTTTGTTTGTTATTCGATATGATAAGATATCGTCCTAAGACCTAATAAAAAATATCTTTTTCTTTTTATTCTAGATAATATGTAAAAAATGGAAAGGCTTTACAGGCAAACCTATCGAAGATGTTGTCAATATTGGAATTGGTGGCTCTGATTTGGTAATATAAAATAATTTATTAAATATAAGCAATCTTTATATTAACGTACAAGTATGTTAAAGTAATAAATTTTTTCAAATAGGGTCCTCTGATGGTAACAGAGGCTTTAAAACCCTATCATATTGGACCACGAATACATTTTGTTAGTAACATCGATGGTACTCATATCGCAGAAACTCTCAAAAAATTAAATCCAGAAACTACTCTGTTCATAATAGCATCTAAAACGTTCACTACTCAAGAAACAATCACTAATGCAACTTCAGCTAAATTGTGGTTATTAGAATCATTAAAAAATGTAAGTAAATTGTACAGAGTATATTAAAATATTTTTATAATTAAATTTTGTTGGGTTTGATATAGAAAAATATTCGAGATAAAAGTTACTTAGCATTATAAAAAAGAGTAATTTACTTTTATTTAATTTGTTTATTACTTGACTTTATTTACTGTTTAGGAAGCAGCCGTTGCCTCTCATTTTGTTGCCCTTTCCACTAATACACAAAAAGTTAAGGAATTTGGTATCGATGAAAAGAATATGTTTGGATTTTGGGACTGGGTTGGTGGAAGATATTCATTGTGGTCAGCTATTGGTTTATCTATCTGCCTGTCTATCGGTTTTGAAAATTTTGAGAAACTTCTTAGCGGAGCGCATTTTATGGATCAGCATTTTTCTACAGCTCCATTAGAGAAAAATGTACGAAAAATTATTAATGAATTTTGTTAATATGTTCGAATATTATTTATCGATATGTTTAACAATACACAGGTACCTGTTATTCTTGCACTTCTCGGCGTATGGTATCACAATTTTTATAACGCAGAGACACATGCATTGTTGCCATATGATCAGTACTTGCACAGATTTGCTGCATATTTTCAACAAGGCGACATGGAAAGTAACGGAAAATTTGTTACTCGATCTGGCAAGAAAGTTAATTATTCTACTGGTAATTATATATATATATATATGATATTAAATATTTATTTTATTGGTCGAACACCTTAACTAATGTATAATATCTTATCTTTAAAGGTCCAATTGTATGGGGAGAACCGGGAACAAATGGTCAGCATGCATTTTATCAACTTCTTCATCAGGGTACAAGACTCGTACCTGCGGATTTTATAATTCCTGTACAATCTCATAATAAGGTTCGAAAGCTTTTCAATATTTCATAGAATTTATTTCATAAATATATCTATTAACTGTTCTTAAATAAAAATGAAAGTATGGTTCATCCGTGAGCAAAAGATCTGATGCAATCTTGACGAAATCTTGCTTGCAATGCGAATATATTATAATACATTGCTGTATTTATTATAGGTTCAAGGTACATTACATCATCAAATTTTATTAGCAAACTTCTTTGCACAAACGGAAGCTTTAATGAAAGGCAAAAATCAAGACGAAGCTAAAAGTGAATTAGAGAAATCTGGCTTGAACTCCGAACAAGTTAATTCATTGTTACCTCATAAAATATTCGAGGGTAACAGACCAACCAATAGCATTATGGTTAAAAAAGTTACTCCTTTTGTTCTTGGTGCCTTAATCGGTTAGTATTAATTTTCAAGATTTCCCATTAACAGTGCATAGACATTTTTATGATTACAATTTGTTTGAATATTTTTTAGCAATGTACGAACATAAAATATTTGTACAAGGTATGATTTGGGATATTAATTCATACGATCAGTGGGGGTGAGTACTAAATAAGTATTGAAGATTTCAAACTAAACATTTATTTAAATATTTAATATAGAAAAGTTTTTATTGTTAATATTTCATATTGCTTTTTATAGCGTTGAATTAGGAAAACAGTTGGCTAAAGCTATCGAACCTGAGCTTCGTAACGCTGATAAAATTACCACTCATGATTCATCGACAAATGGTCTTATTGCGTTTGCAAAAGCAAATTTAACAGTTTGATCATATATTTAGTTATTAAAGTAGTTGGTTAGATTCATGGGATACATTTAAATAAAATATTTTTTATCTAACGTTGGTGACAGTTAAAAGAAAAAAAAGAAAATATTAACAAAGTTGCAGCATGATTTTTCTCCACTAAAAATACAACATATTATAAGAGAGATCTATATATTTAAAAAAAGAAAGAAAAGGAAAACGAAAAATTGTAGAATGGTCTATATATTAATGATTTTCGTTCATTTTTATAAATACTGATTTTATTATAGTGTAGATACTTGAGTATGTATGCGTATAAAGTAATATATGTTTGTGGGTCTACGTAAATAAACGATTAATCTAATCTATGTTGAATGTAGCAAAAAATATTAATGAATGCATGTAAAATTATTTGATATCCCAAGTAGATTAATAAATCACTTGGCATATTAAAAATGTTTCTTTTTTTTGGCATATATTTAATAGCTTAATTTTATTTAAACTCGTTTTATTTTTTATTACCATTCCTAACTCATAGTTAAATATTTAATATTATTAAATAGAAAAATTTCATCATAGGGGACATGTGTTTACTTCTAATGCCGGACACGCCATTCGTAACAGGTGCGACAACAGAAAAATATAATCTTGTCTCTGTTTTTCTCTCATATGAATGTCATTAGAAGAAACTTGATAAGTGTACACATGAGCCTTTTAAACAGTATATACTCGTAGATGACGTAGGTACGGCTAACATATCGTAACAAAAAGATTTGACCTTTCGACTGATCATTTAGTTTTTCCATATGAAAAGTGAAAGTGCGCGAGAATTTGTGTTCATTTATGATTTGAAGGTTACGTTTGATTAATTTGAGAAAAATCAAAATGTTATTTAATACATATCGGAATATCGAAGAGAAAATATTACAAAATTTGAAAATAAATGGCATAGTGCATCGGTATGTATAAACAATAACGATTGTTTATTTATATTTTTAATGCAACCTCTATTCAAATATAAATTGGAATTATTTGTTATAGAAAAATATATGTACAAATTTGACTATTATTTTTCCACTTGTTAATAATATTGTATATCTTATGGTTGTTATTTTAATTTGATTATTTTATTTTTGATTATATATATATATATATTTTAGATCCAAAGCAAGCTGTGGATTATGGCTTGGAAGTTTAATAGGATTGAGCGCAGCATTAACGTTATTAAATGATAGTAATAGTTATTCAGAAATATGTTTGGTAACAGGATTAACAGGTTTTGGATTACTTGTTAGTAGTTTATCTCTCTACATACGGCTTTGTATAGGAAAGAGTGCAATTAAAGATTTTCATGTTATTTATTTCCTACCAGCGATTGTAACATCTATGTTATATCTTTTTATGGCAAACAAAGGTATGATAATTTATATGTAATTTTAATATTCATCGTTCATAAGAGAAGATAATTCTTCTTAATCATTGACTATATTTATCATATTTTTAAATTATTACATAAGTGCAGGATTGCTGACGAGTGTAATATGGGGATTAAACGTTGGAAGCTTGGGCACCTGGGGAGTCTTACAATTAATGTCTAATTGTCCTGGTTGTTTTACAATCGGTGAAGCAATGGTCGTTACGCATGGATTTATTTTATTCCTATTGTCAGTTGCTACCAATATACCATTAAGATATCATTTACCACCAATCCATAACGATGATATTGTAACTGTTATATTACAGGTATTTTAATCATTCATCGTTAATTGCTTTATTATACAAGAACGAAAGTAATCGTATCTTTGTTATTTCCTAATGTTGCAGATTGGTATATTATATGTCTTATCGATTTGTATATTATGCAAAAACTTTTTTATACTACGTTTACCTCGATACTTTTATACGATGGTACTTGGTATCTTTTTCTTACTCGTTGTACCATTATTATACGTACTCCTCGATCAGAATCCTTTATCATGGATATTAGTTTATATCCTTAACAAAACGCACAGAGTAAGTTTTACTTATATTTATATATTAATAATTTGAACATTTAATATTAAACATCAATGTGTTATATTTTCAGATCTCGTTGATAATATATTGGACAATCTGTTTGTTATATTCTGTATTGATTATAATATTTCAAATGCTATCTGGTGTTCCAGCTACAACATCTAGCAGAAAATATTTTCACATTGTAGCTGTTTTCGTTTATGTTCCTGGACTTTTGTATGATCCTACGTTATTGTATCTTGGAAGCGGTGTTATAACAGGAATATTTATAGTGTTGGAGGTAACGATGTTTGATACTTTTATATTTATCGAAGATAAATAAACAAAAAAAAACCCTTAATCAAATTTTAGTTAACAAGGATATTGAAAGTATCACCTTTAGGAAATATGCTACAACAAGGGTTTAATATATTCGTGGACGAGAAAGATCATTTATTATCGCTGACGCCATTGTATTTACTCTTTGGTCTTTCATTTCCATTGTGGATGCCAGCTAATAATGCTTCGCTATTTGTCCTTCTTAGTGGGTTATTGACTGTAGGCATAGGTGATACAGCTGCTAGTTATTTTGGTAGTAAATGGGGAAAACATAAATGGCCAGGTTTGGAAAAATCTGTGGAAGGAATGCTTTGCTGTATTGCTAGTCAGCTTGCAACGATTTTTGTCCTTATTTTCATGCGTATGTATTTTCTTTTTTATATATATATATATATATATATGTTATCGTAAAAGCCGGGAATCAGGCAGGCTGCAAATTCTACATCATTGCAATTTCTTTGAAAAGTTTCGGTAAATATTTTTAATACTTTTAGCAAATAGATTTTAATGATTTTTATATTAAACTAAAGTGCACACTTTTGGCTACACGTAGACTACCTTTTCGCGGTATAAATCAATCTGCAAAGGTTCATAAAATGGCAAAGAAAAGTTTGCGGATCAGCATCTGATGGCCAGGCATTGCTCACATTACCGGCTTAGGTTCCAAACCTCCCCCGGCAATTTCCGACTTCGTCTGAAGGCTCTTCACATTCATAGTAATGCCGAGGATTTACTAATAATGCTTGATTTCCGGCTTTGACAGTAACATATACATTCTTACCTTTTTCTATTCTAAGTCTCTGAATTAATTATAATTATATTCAATTTTTTAATTAGGATATATCGACGACCAATGGTTATTAAGAAGTATATCATCTGTTATTGCAATTTCTTTTATCGAATCTAAAACCGATCAAATTGATAACTTGGCTCTACCATTGTTGATGTACATTTTTCTTATTGTTTAAATGCAGTCCATTTTTTAGCTATAATAGTATATATATATAAATTTATACTCAATATTTTTGATTAGGATATCAATTATATTTTATAATACATTCGATATTAGTTTATCGTATACAATGGCATTTATTAATTGAGAACATATTTTATATTCGCCATATTTATTTTATAATTATAGTACTAAGGAGTATTATAAATATTTATATTAAATTCAAATGCCTTATACACGACAAAATATCCGATAAAAAATAAAAAGATAAAAGAAGAAGAAGAAGAAGAAGAAGAAGAAGAAGAAGAAGAAGAAGAAGAAGAAAAAGATTAAGATTAGGATAAAATATTGCTATTCTATAGAGCATTTAAGTTTATTCTCTAATTAAATGATCCCAGAAAGACCTAATTTAATAATATGTATGTTAAATATATATTTATACATTAATATACATTTTATATCATAGTTAGAATCGTTAAAAGCTTTTGTACAATAGCTTAATGTGTAATTTTTGAACAAATTTGTTGAACTCGTTGTAATATCTTTTTTACATTCCCTTGATGAAATTTTGTTAATCTACGATCGCGCGCGGATTTTTATGATGACCTATTATCGATCGAAGAATATTTTGTTCTAAAGCTATTTATATAAAATTTACACACAAAATTTATTTTTTTGATAATATTTTATATTAATCTATCACTTATTAAAAATGATAATAAGTAAAATATATTGTTGTGTGTTATAATATTGTTTAATAATGATTGACAAGCGAGCCGTTTATTTGTCAAATCGATTAATTTGACTAAACAAAAATTAAACCAAATTAATAAAGTTTATCATTTATCATTTTGAAGTAAAACTTCTTTTGGCAAGGTAAAACATACCAAAGATTATAGAACAATATTTCCTGTAAATCATTTCGGAAGGCAAGACACGCATTTAGAAGATATATTATGATAAAAAAAAAATAAATGTTAAATATAAGAAGAAAATGTAATATAAATGAAGAGTAATCTATAAAGTAAATCAATTTTTATACGATCCTTGGTAATGAAAAACTTTGTATAGTATTAAATTTACCGTTATATCGTTAGAAATAAAATTATTGAATAATTGAATACGTTTGGCCCAAAAAACATATGCACCACGCACGCCATATATTTCCATATACATAGAATGTTGTGTATTGTTATTTCTTTCTTCTTCTGACTCTCCTGGACTCTCCCAGAGAAGAAAATGATAAAAGGATTATTTTTGAATGTAATTTTTATTGACAACACAGCCTTGAAATTTTTGCACGGACAGCATATTGTTACGCGTCGTGTCTTCTCGCATATATATATTGTTCTTCGAGGAGAAGATAAATCGTTTCTTTGTCGACTCATTTAAAATTATCTATCAGCAATTATAGGACATCTTGCGATACAATCTTATATTAAAGCGATATTTGAAAATTGATATTTGAATATTTTTATTGCATGAAACATTTGACGTAATCGATTAATTAAACGATGTTTTTTTGTTTTAACAATTCCTCGAAAACGTGTCCAATATGTTACAATAGATCCGTTGTTCTTCAAGAAACAATGAGAATAATTTTGTTCAAAGATGATTTTATGTTACGAATTAATCGTAATATATAATCAGTGAAAATATATGCAATTGCGAACACAATATTTTTCGCAAGTTTATCGTTTTCATAGAATTTCATGATTTGCAGGAATTCATTTCATTCAGTTTTATTTAACTGCACATTCTTTATTGTTAATATAGCTAACATGCGCTTGGCATATGGTTTTAATTACATTTTATAGATGAAATTTTGATTGACGTTCAATCAAAATTTGTGCAGACCAAACTAAAACATAAATTCTTATAAATATTATATGTGCAAGCCAATGTAAAATGAATAAAGTACTGAATTATAATTAGGTAATAACTATACGCGCGTATGGGAAAAAATTGAAACATTAGGAAATCAGCATATTGTAATTTCAATGAATTTTAGTAGAAACGACGTTGTCACTTACCCACAGTAAGTGTTTGGTGAAAAAATGAATTTTGCTATTTTAATTAGTCTTCTATTATCTAGATAATCGTTTCAACACAAAAATTGAAGTACATACTTTTGAAAGAGGCCGCCACAGTTAACTGGTTAAATATATAGGTCGCGTTAAAATAATATTTCGTGCGATTGTGCAAACCGATTTAAAATGTGAAATAGTATGAAAAACGAAAATAAATATACAGAATGTCTCAGATTTTTTCCAGTGGAAAAAGTTTGGCAGGAAAAAATTGGAGATACTCTTTATTTGGGAAATAATTTTGGTCCGCAAGATTTATGAATATTTGAAGTTTAAGAAGAACGACGCGGATGAATGTCAGAGGCGTCTTAACTATCCTACCAACTACTTGTTATATATAGTCCTTTTTCTTTTATCATTATATTCATATATTAGTATAGCAATGAAATAAATATCCTGACATTCTCGGTCGTATAATAATATGCCTTTATTTTATTTCTTTTGTTGTTGTTGGTTTTTTCAATTTTTTGCCAATCGAAATGGCCATATCCGTCCGTCGACCGATCGAAAATATTATTGCGAATTCTCGCGAGAGAAGGACCATACGTACGTGGTGGGATAAGGTGAAATAAGAAAATAAATAGTTGTCTCATGCGTTGTGTCAATTATTGACTTTTACGTTGCGAATAGTGATAGCGTGACACGATTAACTCGCGTTAAGGTTTTACACGTTTTTCAACGCGACACCCATCGCGAATCGGTTTCACAATTCTTTCGCTATAATCATCATCATCATCATCATCTTTCTTTGATAAAAGCATCGCCGGTGAATACATGAATTTTGCAATTTTCATTTATTTTTTGTATTTCTTGCAAAAAGCGGTGCGTTTTAAAAAAGGATCTTCTTTCCCAACATTTCCTCTCTACGTTCTCGTTTCATTGAATATAAGACAAATGGTATAGATCGATACTCGCGATCTAAATTACTCGATACTAAATTTCCTTACGAGTCCCTTCACATTTATCTTTTCATCCCTTCTCGTAGTTTTCTTTTGAAAAATGTCTTTCTTTCTTTATCTCCTCCTATTACTCCTGTTACTTTTATTTCGAAATGATCAACTTACTTGTAATTCAATGGACTCGTATTTATTTCCAAATAATAAATCAAACGACTATTTCATCATCTTGAAATAAAATATAAACGATGCTCCTCCCCATTCGGAGCAGAAAAGTCCTTTCGTTTATCCAAGATTTGGACAACTTTCGTTAATTCGATTCGTTTTACATAGAAAAACTAGCTACAACGTTTGCACTTTTAGCACGAATTATAATGAAAATTCGGAGGCAAAAAATGACTACGTTATAGTTATATTCTATAAAAATAACATGCGCTTCTTCTTGTTTTTTTTTTTCTTTTCTTTTTTTTTTTTTGTCTACGCATATACAGAACAGGGGCGGAACCGCAATGCCGCAGGACCCAGACAAAAAGAAACAGAGGTAGTTCCTTCTCTCGTTTATTGAATTTCTAGAATTGTCCCCATTCTTTTAAAAAGCAACAGACAAATTAGACATTTTAACCGATATTAATATAATATAAGTTGTTTATCCTTTTACTCGGTTTTGCGAAATGATACTTTTGCGGGTCGCGAACATTTGCAGTTCCGCCTCTGATACAGAAACATAACTGGATCTCTCGTGTTTCTTACCTTATTATATATATTCTTATCATGCTTCGTTTAAATCTCATTCGATTAATTATAAATAATATATTATATATTCGTTCTAACATATTTTGCAGAGGAACGATAACGGTCGAGAGACAAAAATGAGAGCGATATGTTTTTTATGAATCTTCTAAAGTTTACAATTGTGCAGCTGCTAGGAAAGAACGAATTTAACGATTTTCCTTTTATTTTCGTTTCCATTTGATTTAATCCTCATTTAAAACACGTCGAACGCCACGCGGAATCATAAATGTGGTAAATAAAATGTATTTTTCATTTGAAAGTAATCTCTAATTAGGAATGATGTTTTAAATTCGTTCAATAATCCAGATAATGCATAATTGTCGGTGGCGGTCAACGTGTTTATTTGGATCCTTTGACCGATTGAAGTATTGTGGAAAAAGAATAATGTGATGTAAAAAAGATAGATATTTAAACTCGGTTGAAATAATCGTGCAGAGCAGCATGGTTTTAAGCATATCGGCATATCGGCATACATTTCATTTCTTCGAAGGAATTTCTTATGCGGTTATTCCCGTTGTTATCGAAATGTTTGTCCTTCGAAGAAATCGAAGAAAGAATTGTAAAAGGATAGATAGGGAATGGGCTGAGAGTGGGGGGCGGGGGCGGGATAGGACGAGGAAGAGATTATTCCCTTAATTTGTGCCATTCCGCAAACTGCCGCTGCGGAGATCTGCAAATGTTGTTCCAATGATTCAACGCGGATCCTTGGCCTTTGGAACCACCGAATTTTAATCTGCCAATAACCTGGAAGAAAATGGTGGAAAGTTTGGATAAACTTTCCGTAGGATAAATAAATAAATGGTCTTACCTCGCTTTTGGTAAATTTATCCCAAGCGTAAAGAATAATTTCGAGACTGACGTTGCTTAAACTGTGGCTATTTTTGGGTATATCGAATACGAAGGGCTCGTTGAATACAGGACTTAACGTACGCTTTTTCACGTGGGTCTTCCTTTTCGAGATACGCTTCGATTCATAAAATAGATAAATTTTAACGTAAGGATCGACAAGACCCGTCACATCCATTTTAGGGAGATCTCGTGCTTTCAAGATGATCACCGATAATTGATTCGTTTGCGACTGCCAGCAGAACGATACCAACAGTTCCCCTCTCCCTTGGGATTGTATCTAAAATAAATATAGCACTACGTATATTCGATTAAGTTTGCTTAGATGTAGGTAAGCATATTTAGAGAAGAATTTAAAAAAGTTGATAACCTGAGGTGTAAACTTTGATCATAGGGTGCCACCGACCTTCAAACTCCTCGGACAGATGTTTCGGCGCAGGGATATTTCTTGATTATCGGAATCTTTTAATCCTGGTATCGAGGAAAGTGCGCACGTTAGTTCGCCGATAATTTCGTCGCGCGAGTATCTGTCGAAACTTAGAACGACGAAATGTAGACTGATTTCCTGTAAGTAACAGTGTCACGTTTTATGGAACAATATTATAATCCCAGAGCCCCAACCCCACAAGCCCCAACTATATTTTCTTCATACTTTTAGCTTTATTATTTGTCATTGAATTATTTTATTAAGTCTAAATCTTTTCTAAATCTTTCAACTCTGTGTGTGTGTGTGTGTGTGTGTGTGTGCGCGCGGGGTTGCGAATCGGTACCTCGAGTTGACTTTTCGTGATCCCGAAGAACGTGAAATCCTCGTTGTAAACGGGATTTCTCGTATTACGAAGGACTCTTGTTTTCACGTGATGTCGTTTGCCCGGCAATAGCTGCAATTTAACGTAAGGATCGCTGCTAGCGTTTCCTTGATCCCTAGCTGGTAATTTCTTACATTTAACGACCGTAACTGCCAATGCATTTTGTTCGCTCTTGTATCTCAATTTAAATACCAATATACCAAGACCGTTCTTCTTATCTGACATGCACAAATTTGACTCGCATTTCACTTTCTCGTTATTCTCCAATTCGGCTTTGTCGCATTCGTCCTCGATGGTGAGCGTAACCTCGGTGCTGAATGTTTCAACCGGTGTACCAGCTGTTAACGAACGAAAACCTTTATTATTTATAGCTCGATCTTTAAGTGGGATGATATTTATCTCTAACCTTTCTCGCAACGCGATACATCGTAATTAGGATTATTGTTCTTAACGATTGTTTGCGGCGTGGCCAAGTCCGAGATGGTATTGGTCGATCCGCCGGCAGGACTGGAAGAGGTCTGTTGCTGCTGTCCACCAGTAGACCCGGGTGGATTTTTAGCAGGACCGGTAGGACTCGGACTCTTTTTCAAATAATGACTCGTACTGCCAGGACTCTTTACTGCGGTCGGCTTTCTATGGGGTGGTCTGAAAGCCAAGGATCTGTCCGCGTTCAACTTGGTGTGTTCGCGTCGTCGTCGACAGAGCCACCAGGTCATCGCGACGGCGCAAACCAGGAAGGCGCCGCCGGTGCATAGGGCGATCAACGTTCTCGTCGATACTGAAATTCGCGTCCATCACATATATATATATATATGTATATCTATTTATGATAGGTAACAACAAATCCTTCAAAATTTCGCCAATCAATTTGACCGATTCTCGATTCAAATACGCGAGTAAATGTTGCGTTAAATAAAGGACTAATGTTATCTGTTAAATAACATCCCTAACAGGAGGAAAACGTTCATCTCGGACCGGATCGGAAAAGGAAAGAAAGCCCAGGGGTTATTCGCTACTGGGTTAATTTCGATATTATCATTTAATAACTTACCGGCATTGACGGGCCGAATCAGGGGTCCATCCTCCGTGTCTCCCTGGGCCATCTTGAGCCACGCTCACGTCCTTTTTCTTCGCCTTTTAACGCGCGTATCCTCGCCACGACAAATAATACTTAGGTGTACCTCGCTAGGAGGAATATTTACGGCGTGCTGTAGCTTTCTCTCTCGCGCACGGATCAATAAAGACGATATTACGGAGCTTGCGCGTTTAAAAAGACGAGAAAAAGCCTTGCGTAAATGTCAGGCGCGCGCACACTCACGAATGCTTTTCTTCTTATCTCTTTGTAGAATTTCTTATTTAACTTATTTTCGGGTCCTGAAAATGGGATGATAGTTGTTTCTGTCACAAGCTTTTGGAAATAATGAAATCTCCGCGCGTCGATGTCATCGAAGAAGGTCAAATAGTTTGTAGGTTGAACATATGCGGCACGACGCGGCGACACAGGAGTCTCGTCGACGCGCATAGAAATTAGGGTCGCGCGTCTACAGCTGCCTGACTCACTAGTTATATTTGTACAAGTTCATTTTGTACAAGACATTCAAGTACGTTGGAATGCTGCGCTTGGGATAAGAACAATTCTCTTTCTTTTTATCCTACCTCATTTGACACAAAATGGGTCTGAAGAAATTCGACATTACTTTTGACAACAATCCATGGAAAATTTACTATCCCAGACAAACGGTGTCGGGAAATATCGTACTGGTTATTGACGGAGTTAAAAAAATTCGCGGTAAGTCCGACGCGACTATTTGTTATTTTTTGGTTTGTTCGCGTTCGACAACTACCGCTACTCCTCGAGATCCGTTTCTATAACGTTAAAGGCCTTTCTCATTTTGAGGAATCGCTAGCTCTAATTATAGATCCTAAATTTACCGTACACATAGATCCATAATTTACCAACATCCAAGATCTTTCACACTTCATTTTCCCGCGCAAATTCTTCTTATATTTTTCTAGAGGGATTTTCTGTAGAGATTTGTAAATTATAGAAATTTCTTCTCGTAAAGTTTCTTATCGACTCATTCGAATGACTTCATCGTTTTATTTGTAGGCATTTGCGTGAAGGTAAAAGGAGAGGCAAATACCTATTGGACTACGGATAAAGAAACGTTGGATAATACAGGAAACTATCGCGATGAGAATGCAACTTTCAGTGCACACGAGGAATATTTCCAGACGAAATATTATCTTGTTGGATCTGCTTCCGGTAATTATCTAATTAGATTTGATTTTGTTTTTTCCCATGACGCAATATTGTATTTATGTCCTTTTAAGGAAATGAAATCGAAATACAAGCGGGCGAACACAAATTTCCGTTTACCTGTAGCTTACCTGAACATTTACCGAGCAGCTTCGAATCTGACTTTGGTCATGTTCGATATACGGTCAAGGCTACCCTGGATCGCCCATGGAAATTCGATCAGGACGTTAAAGCGGCATTCACGGTCGTTTCGCCTTTCGATTTGAATACGGAATCCAGAAGTTCGGTAAGCAAAATCCTTCCTTTCCTCTAAACAATCAAATTAACCGAATGTCCTCTCTTGCGTTAGGAACGAATTACGGAAGATATGAGTAAATCTTTCTCTTGTCTTTGCTGTGCCAGTGCACCTTTGAACGTAAGTTATTCGTTACCGGTCAGAGGATACGTTCCTGGTCAATCGATGCCGATCAAAGTCAATGTCGAAAATTTATCTACCGTTACTGTTAATCGTATTGCTCTGATTCTTTGCAAGGTATGGTTACAAATGATCTTCTCTTGGCTAATACATGCATCGGATTGTAATTCATATTTTCCTCCTGTTTTATTCATTTGGAAAAATACATAACCGAGCTAACAAACGATAAGCAAGATGTTCCCTTACAATTTCTTTAGATCTGGCAAAAGGAAGTAAGTTATTAATGCATGCAAGTTAAAATACATAAATCATTGGTTACTCAACGACCAACAAAATGATTACATATTTCCAAAGGAAAATACGAGTCAAGCCGATCGATATCGCGAGTCCTTCAAAATACTTTTCGACAAAACATTTGATAACATTGGAATTCAGTTAGCGAATAGAGTTGCCTCGTCAAATGTTACAAGGCACTTTGTATCGAAGGATACAATGAGTAAAATATAGTAAATACAATTTTAATGAAACCCACAATTTTCAAGTTCAGATCGTGACATTCCGTGCAACTAATCCAAGCACGGATACGAGAATCGAAGAGATAATTGTAACGGAAATTAGTAAAGGACCTTTCGATGGCGGAGCTACTGCAGATTACGAACAATACTTGGACGTTCCAGCCCTTCCCCCGTCGAATCTTAATAGCTGTGCCATCATCGATCTCGAATATCGTCTGAAGGTTCAAGCGTGCGTCGAAGGATGGTCCGTAATTTCAATGACGTCATATCAATTTCACTTACAAGCGTGCACTCTACAAATGTATTTCCTTATTAGATTATTTTTTCTTTCATATTATGATCGACAGGTATCATCGTAATTTAAAGAGCGATACTCTCGTTTTCGTGGGAACAGTACCATTGCTTAACTATCAGACACCAAGTGCTCCTCCCGAGAGTCTGATTTGTAACGACTCGCCAACGAAAAGTTCCGATAAATATCAGCCGTCTCCTACTTCGAATTTATACCCACAATTACGTAATGACCAAATTTCCTAGCTAAACCAAACTATTATTAATCATTTCTCCCCTCTATCTTAAATAACAATCAAATACAATAATCATTTTCATAATTGTCATTTTATAGCACCCCCTAAGTACGAGGAATCAACGTATGGTGCAAGAAATCTTCGAGAACGCGGCGAATCGGAACACGTGATTGGACTTACGAATCATTTCGCACCCAAATATCCGTTTTACCACTTTCCAACAATTCAATGAAACAAAACAGACAGACGACGACGCCGACGACGACGCCGACGACGACGCCGACGACGACGCCGACGACGAAAAACTTATCGCCATACATTTTTATCTTATGCTTTCATGCAAATCTTGCTATTGCAAATGTTATCAATTTCGCAAACGCTGCAACTTCTTTTTCTCCTTATGTTCTTTTTTCATTTACGATCATCAACTTCATTTTTACTTCGTAATTCAAGTTTTTTCTTCATATATTTGAAGTATAACTTATCTACATTTAATTTAGGCACACATTCTATTACAATATATTTTCTATTCTATTACATAATATATGTCAAAGTAATAGTATTACTCATTACAAAATTCTTTAAATAGGCAGGATAAAAACATACACACAATATTTTTATTATTAATTGAAAGTAATTAATTTACTGCCAGCCTCTAAGCTTTAAGCTTGGAAAATATTTATTGTTTAACATGCAAAATATACAATACAATTTTATACGCCTACATATGTCCTATTAATTTTGCTGACTGCAACCTCGAAACGCGTGAAATAGTTTTCACTTATTATTACAGTACAGTGCTACGAATAAAAATGGCTGTGCACAAATTTGATGAAAAGTATTTATTGTAGTATACATTCAAATGTTGTAAGCAAAGAAAAAGTCCTGAGGCAACCTCCTTCAGAAATCATGACCAAAATTTGCACACCTGCAAAGTGTGCTAGACTATGCGTGCTAGACTATGCGTGCTAGACTATGCGTGCTAGACTATGCGTGCTAGACTATACGTGATAGACTCTACGTGCTAGACTATGAACTTTTCAGCCCTTCTATACGTGGTAGGCACAGTACATTTCTATTACATATATAATCATTTATATTTTATTTACAAGATATTGTTGTGCGTTTTCCTTCTAAAAACTTTTCACAATAAATCATTTACTACTATCGCTTTATATAGTATATACATATTGCAATTACGCTTACAGTTGTTACACTTTTGTTTCGTTTTGTTTTTCTTTTTACGGGCTATAATGACGCACCAATAGCGTATCAATGGCGTATTAATTAGCTTTTCAAAATGGCGTCGCAAAACCTGATACCAAAATCAATTGACAATTAGTACGTTATACGCATTAGCCAAATATATATGGAAAACAGACTAAACAAAAATCCAATCGAATTAATATTTTCATTTTTCATTAATAAACATTAAGTTAAACCTTTGAATTTTACGTAGCCTTTTTCGCTCGGTCGAACCGGCAACAACAACTTTCAAAGAAGATTTACCCCATACATTTGCTTCATTTCTTACAGCTATCTTGACATGATTTCAAACAAGGACATTTGTTATAAAGATTAAGCAATTGCCAAGATGCACAGTAATATGTGTGCTTTCTTGTCAATTTTTTCACTCATTCTATAACAGCCCCCCTCAAATGCTGGACTCACAAACAACTCAGTCAGTCCACCCTCCTATATATGTAATAAGCGGAGATTATACATGGGAAGTATCAGGATTACCAACCGTAAAATTATAAAGCCCGGAATTAAAATACGTCATTCAATTTGACCATATATAGTATTGACCTATATAGTAGTACTTTCTATTTAAATACTCAATAAATATACAATTTTTTATATACTTTTATTTTTTCATCTTTACGCAAATCTTTACGTCAGATAAGAAAATCAAGTCAATATTAAAAAGACGATAAGAATTATTGCATTTAGAGTTTATGAAAATTTCTTATTACAAAAAAAAAGGAAACATTAAATAAATATATAAACTGTCATATAAAATTCATTAGAAAAAATGATTTTTTTTCAATGACAAAATGATAAGTAATCATTTTTCATTGCACAATTTATATGTATTTCCAATTAGGAAATTGTAATTTGACAATTACGTATCTCAATTTGCAGTGTAACCAACAGTCAAACTTTTCTTAACCTAAATGTTATTATTGACCTACATTCTCGTGACATATTCATTTCATTAATTGTTCGATTACAAAATTTCCTTTTACAATGGTTATCATCAAAAAGTGTTTGCATAATTAATTTACAGTATTATTACGTTATTTTCATTGATTTTCTCAATTTGAAATTATTCAATTGCAGTGAACTTTGAGAACATAAGGTTATGAGTGATGCAATTAGAAAAAAAGAAAATAATAATAATAAAAAAAAAAAGAAGAAGAAGAAAAAAAAAAAGAAAGGTTTGTTATTGGTTATGCTGCTAATCGAGTTAAACGTAAATTCAAAATTAATCGAAACACCAAATTCAAATGTTCACTTGTCCCCTAAAAGTAGCTTTACTGAAACAAAAAATTCCAATTTTTCTTTTGGTTTGCTCGGAGTGACGGGTGGGGTGGTAATGTCTTTTTATAACTCGCTATAGTTAACTCTGAAGATTCCTATTTTCAAATGAATAAATAAAATATTGCAATTCTATTAAAGATATTAATAAGAGTATGAATTTCTAAATGTGTTTTTTGTTTTTCGATAAAGCAACTTTAGAGAAACTCTTGGAAATTTTTCATTTATCGGTTGCTCCTTTCTAAAATATCAATTTTACAATAATAAACCATGAGAAATAATGGAATTTATTTTTTTTTTTCTTAAAATGATAAAATACCAAAATAAAAACAATTATTATCAAAAGGATTTTGGGCAATCTTTCTCGCGCTTACATCTTATTCTTTTTATTTCTTTTATTACTACTTTTAATAGATTGCATCAATTCTTGTTGCACTTTTAGTTTAAAAAAAAAAACGAAACAAAAGGTGTTTATCTTTTTGTTTTTACGTAATCTACGGTTTCTTATAAATATTTTATCATCACAAGGTTTTGCCAGAAGAGCCATGATCAATTTGTATATGTTAATCGTTTTTTTTTTGTTAAATCCGTCAATTTATGATAAGTAATCAGTTATTAAATCAAATAATTATACCTATCAGGTAAAGTATGAAGTAAGGTAGAATATTACGAGTAGTGTGAGTAGTTTTAAAAAATATGAAATTAAAATTTCAATCAATCTATAAAGTCACCTGTTTTTTTATACAACAATGCTCGTAGTTATACTTTCTTGTTTTTTAACGAGAAATTCTATTTAAGGTTTTCCCTAAACCGCCTAATTATTTCATGTAATACCTAGATTATTCATAAATTAATTGCTTTAGACACTTTAACGGTAACATATTTACCAAACAAAGTTATAACAAAATTCGACATAGACTACTGCAACAACAACAACAATACTCAAAATTAAACGATCGGTATCATCACATTTATTAATGTTTTTTTTTTTTTTCTTATATCTTTATTTCTTTCTTTCTTTTTTACGTAATTTCTACGGGTGTCTCTTCTACTGCATGGAATATTTATGAAAGATGATAGATTTTTAACCAACTCGGATGATGAAACAGAATTTATCATCAGCGAATATTACTCCAAAATTTTTTGTATGTTTTCTTTGTGTTGCTTTTTTAACTTTTTAATTTTTTTTTTTTATGTATACCTTCCCATCCATTACTCAATACATATATACATATATGTGTGTATATAATAATAATTCGTAATTTTCTATCGTTTCATTATATATTCTATTTACAATTAAATCATCCCATCTCTTATGTGTACGGATGTTATTTAATAATAATTGTCAGCATACATTCCCATTCTCAGACTTTCACTCACTCACTCTCACTCTCACTCTCACTCTCACTCTCACTCTCACTCTCACTCTCTCTCTACGCAGTAAACAATTCAACAGTATTCCTTAAAAACTACACAAGATACTAATTAACTTTAAATCGTTACTTATATCACATTGTTCGTAAACACATTCCTTTACTTCCTATTTCTCTCTCTTATTTTTCTTTTCATCTCATTATTCATTCTACATTTTTTTTTGTTACTTTTTACCACGTAATAGATTGGTATTATGTACAGAATGCTACGCGCTATTTATTTCTATCGATAATTTTTCTTTCTTAATTTTATCCGTCTTAGTCGAACAGCGCTTTTTGCTATTTAAGTTTTACTTTTTCTCTTCTTTCATTTCTTTTATCTCTGTCTCACTCTAGGTTAACATTCTACATCATTAGTTTTATTTACGATTCAGTATGTTGTCAAATTCCCATTTACATTTAATAAGATTATCTTCATCGACTATCGTAACAAATGCAAATACGATTTAACGAAAATGTTCATCTCTTAGTGTGTTAACACTATGCCGCCCATTACACATTGGTGTCACTTTTAAAGAGATTGAACAAATGCACATCGCCCCACACATCGATCGAAAGAATCTTGGTCATACGTTCGGACGTCAAAGTGTTAATTAGTGTTCAAGTAGTATTCGATTGCTTCAAAATTTGTAATTGCTAATATGAAAAGCAATGACACACACAGTTAATGTCATCAGATTGATATCGGACTAAAAATTAAACACAAAAACATGTAATAATAATGAACTATACGACGATGGATGAACATTTTCTCTCTCTCTGCTTCGTTCGCTTTGTGTATGTCTTAACTCTGTCATTTTGTTTCATTTAAAATAAAATTATGTATCATAATGCCTACGATAGCGCAAGAAAATTCTTTATATATTCATATGAAATCAATATAGAGAAGAATCGTAAATTGACATTATTAGGCATGCTGTTAAGCCGAATAGTAGTAACATGCATAGAGAGTTGCATGATTAAAATAAATATATAAAACAATAAATATTAGAACTTATTCGAAAGACAACTCTTATTAACAATTCCTTACTCTTGTTTACTCTCTTTTTCTTTGCAAGAAATTCATTTCACCGTTTGTTTTTTTTTGTTTTCTGGATAAAATGGGCTCGTTCGGTGTCCACAGCCAGAAAAAGATTAAAAGCTTCATTGCCTATACTTCATTCAGTACATTTAGTCTTAGGGGTGGGTGGGTCTTTTGGGTGTGGGGGGGTGGGAGGAAGAGAAAAAAAAAAAAGAAAAAATATATTATAGACATCGGTTATACCCACTTAAAGTATTATTAACTGTTAGATTATATATGTTGGATTTTCTTTGATCGCTTTACAGCACCGAAAAATATAATCCGATTCTAAAATCTCAAATTTTCAACCTTAATACAAAGATGTTGCACAGATCAGTAGTTCGTAAACGCGACTTTTGTTATTAACATTTGCAATATGGTATATATTTATAACTGATAGATATTCTATTAGAAACAATCGTAATTGATTAACGGAGACATAATTTTGAGAGAAATGTACAACAATAGCAATCCAGTGTACGATACGAAGAAAATTTGGAACATGTATTAAAAATGTGAATATTGAATGGAGTAAAAGTTAAAGATAATAACAAAGACAAAATAAACAAAAACTGCAAGTCAAAAATGACAACTAAACTAACTCGTTGGATGTCAATCATATAATACGGGAATCAAAGCGCAATACGTTATTTCCTTATAAGATTCGTGTACACAAATTTATATCGTTTCATTTAAAATCGTAGACGACAGAGGTTCTAATAACTAACGCGCGAATAGGATAAACACATTACATGTAGTGTGTATATGTGTGAGTGTGCCAGTAAACATATAAGGACCTGGAGAATCTACATAAAAGTTGATAAAAGTGATTCACACTTGTCAGTTTCCATAAATGTAAAATAGTCTTTCCTCAAACTAATTTGATCTTTCTTTGATTTTGTCAGACGGTTGAATGCGAAGTTGAGGAAGGTTGCGTGATGGATGATGTTGTAGTAGACGGTGGAGTAGAATTTGATGGCGAACTAACGACAACAACTGGCTTAACTAGCGTCGTCGTATTAAGGTACTGAGCATTTACAAGTGGCATTTGTCCCACAGATTTGAGAATAGGAGTTGTAATCATTTTCCCCGCAAGACTCGATGGTGCTAAAATATGAGCAGTTACTTGATTCCCTTGGGAAACAACGGTCATTGGTGTGACTATCGGTGTCAGACCGGAAAGGGGAGTATGTTGGCCGACGATGTGAGCTATACTTTCAGTGGACGGAGCATTGGACATCACTGTCGCTGAACCCGCCTTTCCTGTCGTTGTTTGAAGGGAAACTCCTGCATGACTTAAAGTCAATCCTATAATAATAATTATTCTTATTCAGTGTATTAAATGATTATCCAGAACACGACACAGGCCCATGTCATCCATTTAAAAAACAATTCGCGACATAAGCCATTTAATGCAAACCGTTCTGCTAATGGATTTGTTTATTTTGCACCAAACCAGTTTTAGATAGCAACAATGCGAACTAATATTGTGGAACATGGTGCGATTTTAAATAAATTTTCAAAATCATAATAATAAATGAAAATAAAAAGTAAATGTTAGGATTGTGAAAAATTAAAGTTTGACGCACCATTTGCTGGAAGAATATTTAATTCTGCACCACCGGGAAGTCTTGTTAGCTCCGAACCGCTTCCACCGACCAGCGTAACACCTCCAACCATTTTATGCGTGGTTTGCGTCGTGTCACCCGTTCTTATTCTCGTTTGGGCATCTATAGAATTAAGTCGTCGATATAATTTTCTTTATATAGTCTGACTAGACACACACACACACACACACACACACACACAAAAACACTCGCACGCACACACACAGAGATAGAGGGGGGGGGGTTGATCGAAAATCGTAGAATATAATTGGTTGAACACTGTATGCAAAACTTTGTTGAAAAAAAAAAAATAACATTTTAAGTTTGAAAATCCGAAAGAAAGATTTAATATTTGTTCACGTAGGCGACCACTACGCTTTTTGGGGACAGACTGTATAAAGTTAGTTATAGAGATAAATGATAACTCACTGGAGACGTTTAAAGCAGGAGAATGAGCGGTAAGAACCAAGGGTCTTCCCTCGTTTCCAGAATGTACAAATGTAACGGGCCTGACGTCGTTGGCCGAAGATTGCACGGCAAGAGCCAGGGGTCTGTCGTTATTCGATAAATTCGAATGCACAAAGGTTACACGATTGTCATTAGCCGTAGACGAGTGCACGACCAGTGCGACGGGCCTTGGCTCGCTTCCAGTGTTGGATTGAACGGCAATCAGTGGCCTCGATTGATCCGAGGAATTTTGTACGGCCAACGTAAGCGGTCGGGATTCATTGTTAGCACCGGCGGCTGCAGCTGCAGCGGCAGCAGCTGCAGCTGCATGCGTGACCAGTAGTTGTCTCGTGTCACCAGGTATAACTCTGAGACCAGGGCCGATATGGGAAAGGGTCGGCACGATTGTCGCTAATCCTTGACCCGTATTTAACATTTGGGCGCTTATCGGTAGATGTAGATGAGACTGTTGCACCAAATTCGTCGGAGATGTTGTCACTTTCTCCTAATAAACGAAACAATAAACGAAACAATAAACGAAACAATAATGAACATATACGAACCGCGACGAAAATTCTGTCTAAGTAAATAAAAGAGATTTTCAACAAGAAGGAGAGAAAGTTAATTACTTGAGCCGGAGCAGGAATGGTAGGCGTCGTCCCAGCAGCAGCAGCAGGTACGCCAGGGCTCGAACTAGTCGGTGGACTTTCCCTCGAATTTTGGGCAAGATTAAGCCCCTGCGTTTGACAGACTACAGCAGCCGTAGCAACTTGATTGTGAATATTTGAATTGTTAGTCGTCGTTTGAAGCGCTTGTGGCGAACTAGCCGTCGCAGCGCTGCTCAGACTACTCGTGCTGCTGTATCTGGTACCACCGCGTGCAAGTCCGGCTACCTCCAATTCTATATTTTCTGGAACTTTGTTAACGAACGGTTATAAACGTTAAACGTTACCCAATAATTACATACTAATTATTACCATTTTTCATAGTCGGAACTTCCGCGGACGAACTCTGTTCTGGCAGTAGAGTATTAAAGTCGATATGATCCCACGTTGCTGCGAGTTCCTTCTTTAAAGCAACCAATTTTTGTTGCGCCGCGATTTTTTCTCTTGCCAGCTTTTCCATTTCGTGCTCATAATCGCGTTCTTTTTTTCTTAATGACTATAACAAAAAATAACAAGAAATTAGACGAATTCACAGTGTAACACACAAGTTGACTTGTCTCAATAATTTTCAATCATTGTTTCAAGCTTTTTGTCAGAACCTGTTTGTGCACGTGGTATAAAGAGCGGGGAAAGTTTGCGAGCGAAGGTGAACTTTATGCTAACAGAGAGAGAGAGAGAGAGAGAGAGAGAGAGAGAGAGAGAAACGCATGCGCGACTCAACCAAGCGCACGTGGCTTCAACAGTTTAAGAGATACACCTATCCCCTCTCCAATTCTTGTTCCCCTCCTATGCCAACTCTTCTGACATTAGAGTTTCTTTAAACCCCATTTGCATCTTTGCGTATGTTTTTATAATTGCAGATATTATAGTTAGAATTTTAAATCACAAAATGTTATTTCGCATACCTGTATATGTTTGATGGCAGCGTGTAAAATGGATAGATTCGAGGACTTTTTGTCCTCTTGCGCTGGTATTTGCTTTTTGAGAAATTCGAAGCATTCTTTAAGATGCGCTCTTCGATTTTTTTCCAGCTTGTTGTGTACTTCCCTTGTACCAGATCGGATCACGCACGACCTGTAATAATCCACAATAATTTTTCTATTTCTCGTTAACTTTCTTTACAAATGATTTATTCGAATTTAAGGGACTTTACTCTTACCCACTCCTGTGTTTCTTATTGTCATGAGCAGTTTCCACATCTACAATGAGATTTCCAGCGCTTTGTTGCGAGACATTGGAATTCTGATTTTCCAAGTACTGATTTTGCGTTGTACTCTGATTATTTTGATGATGATGATGATGATGATGATGTGGTTGTTGTTGTTGCTGATACTGGGGTGCCGGTGGTAATGCAGGTGATTGTTGTTGTTGCTGCTGTATTTGATGATGTTGCTGCTGCTGTTGCTGCTGTTGTTGTTGTTGCTGTTGCTGCTGTTGCTGCTGCTGTTGTTGTTGTTGTTGTTGTTGTTGCTGTTGATGATGATGATGGTGATGATGGTGATGATGATGATAATGATGATGATGAGCTCCAGAATGAGGAGCACTTACTTGACTGTTAAGATTAACATTTGCGACTGGTGGTGTGATGCGAGAAGTCGTGATCACCGGACTCCCTCGTTGAGGTACGTTGGTATGATTCCCATTTGTTCTGTTGTTTTCCAACGGCTCTTCTTCTGAAAACATTATTAGAAAACGTTATAGATATAATTCTACTTGAAATTCAAAGTTTAAGTTTCAAAATAATTTGTAATAAAAAATAAAAGAAGTATAGAACTGTCACACTCGGAAATGAAGAAAAATGCAAATGAAATAATAGTCAGTCACAAATCTATATAAAGGAATGATGTTGATTTTCTTAACAAGTTAAATTGTTAATTATACAACTTTTTGTATCCATGACAATGTTCATTTTAGCTCTATATCGATCACGCCTTGTGATCCCTTTTAGTAGAACGAGTGCAATGTGAGTTAAGTAAGTACTCGAGTCATTCTATGGACGAATCTGAATGGTCGTACTTTCGTCTAAGATTAGCAAACGTTAGTGTTACCGATGGTGATGGTTTTGATCCGACTTTACCATCTAAATTTCCACCCGAAATTGTCATTCTGAAAATACTTAGAAAATGTTTTCCTTCCTGTATTTTAGTTTTTGTCAAAAATAAAAATCGTGCAGAAAATGTACGCAATACTGCAACTTGGTTCTATCTATTAAACGAAAGAACGAAGAAGAAAGTTTTCGCGAGTAGTCGAAACTCATCGCTACGAGAAACGAAGGTACAAAGAAGAAAGAAGAAGAAGAAGAAGAAGAAGAAGAAACGATCTTCTTCTTCTTCTTCTTCGCGACGCTATAAATTAGCGCGGCACGTGTACGCGCATACAGCTAACTCTCATTCATGTACCAAGACCTGGCAAAGTCCCCCGTCGCATAACTCGCTCGCTCTTTCTTCTATCTATTTCTGACTCGCATGAGAAGAGCAGAACGAGAATCCTCAGACGAGAATTCTACGCACGTGAGAATACATGAGTTTCTCTTGTTCAGGGGGAGAAAGAGAAAGACAATGAAAGTGAAGATAGAAGAAGGAAGGCAATGTGTTATTAGAAAATTTGTCAACACGATAACAACTCTGGGCTAACAACCCTAATACCTAATTTTCAATCTCATTAAATAAAACAAATTTTCTGTGTTAAACAAGGAAATAACAATTGTTGCTCAACTTAGTTGATTTAGCCATATCTCAAAACGATTTTGATGCGACAATCGTTTATAAATAATTATCGCGATGGAGTCTGCTCACCGAGGAAATAGTGTCGTATCCATTTTTTCTTCGGTGGAGGCGACATCCAGTTATGTATAAGTTTATCCTTGACTACATCGATTATACCAACGACCTGCGTCGATGAGAGATTATTCGCGTTCTTGAGATCGTTGACATTGTTATTGTTCTCTTTACTTTTATCATCATCATCATCATCATCATCATCATTGCCGCCGCCGTCGCCGTCGTCGTCACCAAAGTACCTTCAATGGTATGTGAATATGAATTCACATTTTGTCGAGATCGAGGCAACGGAGTAAGTATCTTCGAGGATCAACAAAATCCCCCTGTATTCTTTCGTGAAAGGAAGGAAGAAAGGAAGGAAGGAATTAGCGATCGTGAATATTATTGGACTCTTTCTGTTTATATTCGGCTGCGAATACTTTTTAAATAGTGATTTTTGTTGTTCTCGATTGAGAATACATTTACTGCATTTCATTGAAAAAAACATTAGTATTCATTTATAAATCGGTAGAAACTTTTGTCAAGGAACCCCGAAAAATAGGTCGATAACCATTTATCCGTGTCCTCTTCAATCGTTCAACGTTATGTGTTACGTAGGAGAAAAATTGTCGATAACAAATATGTTATAATTAGACAAAATCAACAAAGAATAGAATAACTTTGATAAAAGTAACAGGAGATTACGTAGTCGATGCGAAGACACAACGATGATAACAATGATAATGATAATAATGACGACGACGACGAGAACTTCTGGATATCTAGTGTTAGAATTTTTGTAATAAGAAAAAAAAAAAAAGAACAAATATATGCATAGTAAAAGGTGTAACAATTTAAACAGTATATATACACACACACATATATGCTCAAAGAGATATAGCCCTTCTCCGTTGAATTATTTTCAATAAGATTTAAACGCAACGAACGAACTCATTGTCGACTGAAAGACATGGTCTGCACACGACGACCAAACTCGTCCCTGTCACTGCCTTCGAAGCAGAGAAACCCGTCGACAACGATGCCCCCCTCTTGCTTCCTCTGCGCCACTCTTCTCAACCGAGACCGACTACGTTTCGAACGATCGTGCATCGCAACGCACCACCACCACCAACAACAAAATTCTACTCAAATGTAATATTTATTTCATTATTTATTTAACTTACCATCGATGATAAGCATTTTCTCTTCGCAAAGGAATTCATCTGGCTCGTTACGATCCCTTTTTAATTTGATACCTGCAACAAGAAATATAGAAGAAATGAGAGTTTTTATATACCAATTCGAGTATATTTATTTGGAATGAAATATCAATGTGAACATAATCCCCTAAAAAACAATACGATATACGAGGAGCCAAGTTTTATTCGCATCCCCGCGCGTTTAACGCTCGAATCCACAGGTCGATAAAGAATGAAAAATTGAAAGAGTAGCATCTCTCCACGTGATGTAGAGAGAGAGGGAAGTTCCGAGTGTCAGCTAGCACACTAGTGGAAGAACCGAACAACGAGGTAGCCGGTGGTCTCCTCTATTTATCTTGTTGTTCCCTTCTGATTCCCCCACTCGTTGGAATGATAGGTCAGAAAGAAGAAGGACGGAACCGGCAACATAGTGGATTGATCAGACTGCCACGCGGTCTGTCTCGCATGGTGGGGGGTTAGCCGGGGACAAGGAGCATGCGCGATGCACGCGGTCTGCATGCATTCTGTGCGTATGCGCCGTCAGCGCATTCGTAGCCTCGTGCTCTCATACGGCACGCAAAACAACCCCACCACTACTAACTCACCGATCCCATTCTCGCGCATCGCCATTTTACTACTCTCTCTCTCTTCCCTCTCCTCCTTAAAACAGAGAGCAGAAGAAACACGTCGCAGAAATTTGATTGCTCTATCGTTGCTCTATCGTTGCTCTATCGTTGCTCTATCTATATTGCTCCCGCACACACCTGCTCTGCACGAATTTTTTTCTTATTGCTATAAATAAGTAATACGCGTTAAACAGATTTTTTAGATTCTTTGCCTATGAAAAGATAATACGAATGACGGAAAGAAATTATGAAGGATCGGTGTAAACGAACGGTTTGCATTGAATAGGAGCAGTAGACGACGACGACGACGACGACGACGACGAGTAACGGTGCCTATTTAATTTCAAATGTTTTTCTACACGGTCAATGGGGAATAGGTGGCAACGCGCGCGCACGTGAATGAAGCGCAGAAAATCTGTCGTGTAGTTTCTAATGTCACTGACCGGGGGTTCCTTTTGCTTCCCCTCCGACGGCAGGCACGTTCCAGGTCTTTAGTCCCCTCCTTCCTCTGGCAGCGTCGACCGGCGCTTAGCACCACGGTCACCGTGCCCACCCCACTCCCTTCTCTTCTTTCCTCTTTCCTTTCCTTTCCTTTCCTTTCCTTTCCTTTCCATTCCAACTCCACTCCACCATACACTCCACTTTTCTTCGTTCCTCGATGAACATACTATTGCTTGCTCGAACCTTCCTCTATCTTCTCCAATAACACGACGACGACGACGACGACGACGACGACGACGACGACGACGAAGATCGAATATGCGCGCGCTACTAATAGGTTTTTCTACCCAACATTTTGAACTTTTTTGGCAATAGAAACCTATTACTCATCATTCATTAACCATCAACTAATGTGGTTCATGTACATATGAACAGCAGAGAGACATTGCAAGAAGGAAATAATGAAAAAATGTAGCCGCGCCTTTCTCTCGTAAAAGGGTAAACTGCGTGTGCGTGTCATGTGCATTATGTGTAATTATTAGTAGGCGAGCGATAGACTCGAGGATGGGGGAGAAGCGTTGGGAGGCGCGTGAGGAGGCGCGTGAGGAGGCGCGTGGTACTCACCACGTGGTTCGGTTGAATTGTGATGGTTGTTAGAGTGGGGGAGTGCGACGGCGAGCGATGGTTGATTGGAGGAGGTGGATGTGGAACTAGTGCTAGCGACGCGTTGTTCCCTCTTCTTCTCCTGCTGCTCGACGTACCGCGCCGCTTCCAGTAACGTTTCCAGGCTCATTCTTAATTCGGTCGCCCTCCCCCTCCTCTTCTTCTTTGGATCCAGCGTGTTCACTCGTATCACGACGACGAACCACAATGGTCTTGATATATTGTTAATAATGTTCTTTTATGTTGGACGATACCGTCCAAAGGATCGGTATCGCGCAAAGGCGCGACCTATAAACTTTATTTCTTTCCCCCTCTTCACTAGTCTTTTTCCTTCCTCGTTAGTTGCTTCCACCACCTCCACCTCCACCCCCACATCCGCCGCCGCCACCGCCACTTTCACCTCCAGCTCCGCGTTCTTCTTCTTCTTGATGTTCCTGTAGTTGATTCTGCTACCTGTACCAATTCTTCCACCGCGAGTAGCCGATCTGCGTTGAAAAACAAAACGCGCTTTGTTATACACCTTCTCGACGATTCGAATTTTACAAACAGAAGGAGTACATTTTGTCAAGAAAATAAGGGGAATACATCGAATGCAACTATATTCGAGCGTAATTTGAAAACGCATTATGTTGTGGAACACCGATTAACACCGCGTCCCAATATGTGTCACGTGACTTAGCCATGATGTAACGTGGAGCGCGCGGGAAGCATCGGTCTTCCCCTCCCACGCGGATACCAGCGGAAAGGAACGACGAAAGAAGAGAAATGTTAATTCTGTATCTCATTATTGTTGCAACAAAACTCGATAATATTGACAAGTTTTATATGTTTCACCGTATACGCCACAATTTTCTAATTTCATATCAAATTATATAGAAACTGCGGTCACGGATAACCCACGTGACGATCAACCAGAAAGAAAAGAAAATTCTCTTCAAAATATCGTATATTAATAGGCAATATATACTGCAATAATCAAAGTTAATCAAAAATATAAAAGGAACAACGTCGATTTGCCTAAAATCTAGTATCGTTAATGTCTAACGATTAATATTCAAAAATGAATCAACATAGTTTACATTTTAAAACATTTCAATTGACGCGTACCTCTTCTTCTACGAGTATTAGATAACGTATATCCTTGTAAAATTACCATAGTTGGCCGAGGAGAAGTAATTTTAATAAAGATTCAATCGTCATATTTTAATATAAGATAAATCACAGAATGATTTAAAGTCAAGTAACAGGAGTGGACGACTTGCTGCACAATTCTACGTTGGTTCGATGTTAGTCGGTTATGGAAGGGAAGAGAAAAGAAACCGAGCTGGATGGGGAAGGAGAAGAGAGGGAACGGGGGAATAGAGGAGAAGGGAGAAGCACGACACACACGACGAGAGACAAGAGGCGGGAAAGGCGAAGCAAAGAACGAGGTTCCAGCGTAGATTCGAACTCGCTTTAAACAGAAAGAGAGAGAGAGAGAGAGAGAGAGAGAGAGAGAGAGAGAGAGAGAGAGAGAGAGAGAGAGAGAGACAGAGACAGAGACAGAAAAGCGATGGTATATGCACGTAAATCGTGACAATGAAAAAACAGAAGAATAAGACGGGCAAGTTCGAATTAGCAACTTTAACTAATAAGATTGAACTAACCCTTATTTAACTTCACCATCAACCCAGATGGCAAAGAAATAGAAAGAGGAAAATAAAAAAAAGTATAGAATTAGGTGTATAAGAAGAGTTAACGTTAGGTTAAGGGAATAAAAATACGAAATGTGATAACAGGACAAAAAAGTAAGGTAAAGAGATGGCAAAGAATGCTAGGACGAAGGGGAACAAAGAGAGCAGAGGAGGAGAATTCGTTAAGTACTATTCGGGAAGGGGGGAGGGGTTCGCCGCGCGATAATTCAAGAAGAGGCGCCGCGAGAGCCGAACACCGAGGAGAGCTCCTTATAAACTGACAAAGCGCGACACGCGTACTCATACGCTAACAGTGTATCCGTCACCGCCGACGCACGTACCACCGGCCAATCGGAGCTCTTTGGGCCGTGACGTCATGGCCTCAAGTATTCGCTCATTGGTCGAATCTATTATGGCACGGAAAACACGCCACGCAACCACCTATACGTTTACACAGAAAGATTTACACGAGCGCACACGCAGTTAGTTAAATGTTAGAGATAGACATATAACACGTATTATTAAACACACAAAATACGCTTTTAACTTTTAACGATGAACGTCAATTCAAATAAACCGATAGTTTCTCTTCGGATTAGAATAAAGTACCTTTTTTAAACTTTTCTTTCGGACGATTTACCGGGCGTGGTGATTATAAGGAAATCTTCTACGTACAATAAATCGTGAAAAGTTTTCAATCGTATCATCCGTGATACTCTTCGTACACACGTATATACGTATATATATACGTATATATACGTGTGTACAAACGCGGTTCGCAACAACGCGATGGATCGAGATGCGAGCGCATACACACACACACGCACACACTTCTGACAGTCTTTCGAAGAAAAGGATAAGGTCGAGAATAGAGGAAAGACAGAAGGGGGGGGGGAGAGAAAGATATTGAAGAAAAGAGTAAGAAGAGAGAAAGAGAGAGAGAGATCGATTACTCTGACGATTATTTCCGCGCGTCATATCTCTTTTCTCTTTTTTTCTTATTCTTTTTTATTTTCTTTCTCTCTCTCTCTCTCTCTTCATCAAACTCTATCTTTCTTTATCATTCATTCACTCATTCACTCACTCACTCACTCACTCACTCACTCACTCACTCTCTTTCTCTTGCTCTTGCTCTTGCTCTCTATTTATCTATCTTTTCCTCCTCTTGTCAAACGTACCGTAGAAACAGAAGGAAGATCGAACACGAGGGAGGAGTAAGTTTCACGTTAACTGAGCCACCGGTCGTCCCTAGACGTTTCAGAGCACACACGATGGTTATAACCTGATCGATCTGGCGCGTGGCAGAAACATTTTACAAGTGTTAACCACTGCGCATCAACAGCCATGCTTGCTTGGCCACGATTCACGTGTCTGGGCTCCGACTTACGGGCCAATGGTAGTGCGTTTCATGACGTCATCCTGCTCTATCGACCAATGAACGCGACCCATGTGACGCAGCAATTCGGCTGGGCGTGTGAGAGTAGTGTCGAGCTCCCTGCATATCTCCTCGCCCGTTACTAACCATTGCACTTTTTTCAACATTATTATTGACGAACGCGAAATATATTTTATTTTATCTTTATCCGCGAATAATCGTATTATCACAGATTGTAATATTAACACTAGAGTTTTTCTAATGTCTTATGATCGTCGGTTAATTGCCGGGTGTTAGAAGAAAGAGAAGCTTTCGTACTAGGCTCTTACCTTTCGCGTCGACGCCAAAACGGAGCTGAGTATCGCGCACGCGAGAAAGAGATAGAATGAATTCTTACCAGGGAGGGGGTAAAGCACAAAGACGGATAGAATACAAGGAGTGGGGGAAACACGACCCGCGAGATAGAGAGAAAGAGAGTGAAAGAGATAGGGGGAAACTAATGTTCCGTACACGCAGAGCACACCCGACACCCGGCTCGCCCGGGCAAATACTCGCTCCGGTCTTGGCGGCCTCACTCTCTGCCACCTTTTGTCACGTTCTTTCTCCGTCACATGGATCTTCCTTCTGCGCAGTTGCTATATCTTCGTTACACAGAAGCGCGCTTCATTGTTTACTTAAATGCATGCGCGGCGCATCCTTTTACTCTCTCTCTCTCCCTCTTATCTTATTCAAAATGACTCTTTTCAATGCATTTTCTTTCAATATTCCTAACAATTGTTATACATTTTTGTGTGTGTGAGAACTTATTTATATTTTATATTATATATATATATATCAATCATTTTCATACGAATAAAAATTTATAAATGTATAGCATATCAATAATTTAGTGAAACATTTAATATACAGTACTTTGACCTAATTACTGTCATTTTTATACAAAATATATATTTCTTTCGATATTTTTTTTAGAAAATTAAAACAATGTTCATTCTTTTCATTGATTTCATTAATTAATAGAAAATATAATACAAAATTTATATTCATTTATTTATTGATTTATAATTATTATCAAATGTTTTTAATAATAAGAATGAAAAGGTTCACCTGTAGAAACATTTTATGTACTTTTTATTACATAAACAATCCTCCAAAAAAAAAGGATAATATTTTTTCTTTACAATGAAAGTTATACAACACGCTTCTTGTCTTTCTCTTTTTTTATATATATGTATAAGTATATCATATCTAATTTACTAAAATATTATTTGTCATATCTCTCTCTCTCTCTCTCTCTCTCTCTCTCTCTCTCTCTCTCTCTCTTTCTTTGCTCGCTTAAATTCATTAGATATAGAAATTAGATTAGACAAATAAATGTTTTCATTATTATAAAGCACAATCGGTTATTTCAAGTATTCTTTTAAATTAAAATAAATAAAAGAATTTAATTCCTATTGTTTGCAATTTTATATAAATGTTAATACAATTTAATATAATATATCCTTTTAGCTACTCTCTTTTTTTTTCTCACACATTGGTAGACAAATGATATATAAAGAAAAATCAGAAAAAATAGAGGTAACTGTGGAAATATATTTGATTGTATAATTCAACTGTATATATAAAAATATACAGATTAGGATGACTATATAAATGATCCAAGTATTTGACTACCTGGTTTTACTTTTAAATAAACAAGTTGAATTCTACTTTCTTGAATTCTATCTGTCCCGCTGAGCGCTCCACAAATATTCACAGATTTACCCAGAGACAAATGAACAATACAAATTGTGAAGATTTACGACCTCATTAATGTTCTACATATTATCACTTTTTTATTGTTAATTCAAAACACAGTTGTTTGGGTTGATCTATTGGTTTTTCTATACAAAAATAAAGAATAGCTTATTCACTTTAAGTAGTATCATATCGCTTTATCCTTACAAAATTTAAACTACTTGGAACATTAGATCCGTGTAATAGGATTAAGACTATTGTGGATTGACTTATTTGCCCAACCACATCTTATTGGTTACTCCAGGTACGCCACGGGTCAGGTAGATAGAAATTTAATAAATTTCTAATCCTAATGATTGTTCACAGTTATAATAATTTACTTATCGAAACGATTGATAGTGATTTTCAAAGCTTTTAGAAATAATACTAGATAATAAAATATTAAATAGTTCCAATATCATTGTATGTCTGTGTTTTAAGATTTTCTTACTCGTATTTATTTCCTTTGTTATTTATTCTCATCTTTTAGCTGGTTCTATCATACGATTATTAATTTATAACACGAAGAGAGCCAAAAATACTGATATAACTTTGTTTTCATTTAATTACAAATAAAATATCAACTCTCTTTGATGCTATATAAATATTAGTCATAGATCTCTTGATAAAAATGTCAGATCATATAGTATAATACAATTCTTGTATTTTAAATATTTCTTATATTCTTTCTTCGATTTTTTTTTCTTTTTCTTTTTTTTTCTTCTCCACATATTCATTGATTTTTATTATTCTACTTTAAAGCTATTATTTTTTAGGATTTGTTTATTTTTAAATATTTAACATGACAAAGGATCGATTTATATTATACAACTTCGAAGCAAAAGAGTTTGCTACAATATTTTTTTATCGTACTGTAGCCTACTACTATTTAGTATCTTTTTTGTCTATTTTGTTGAATTTATAATCTCAATTAAAACAACAAATTTCAATCTACTACGAAGTAATACTAAAATAACAGCACAAATTAAATATTTTAAAATATTCAAAAAACCATCCTTTTTTTAAATCAGGGTTTAGCATATAAGTTTTGAAAATGAAGAATAATCGAAGGGGATGATATTTGTTTTTTTTTTCTTTTTTTTTTCTTTTTGTTTAAATTAATATCTCTTCTTCTCTAATGTAAAAACGAATTTACTAAAATATTATAGAATACCAATTGTAGCTAATGTCTTAACATAGCATTGGTTATCTACTTAAATTACTAACGTAAAGATGTTTTAGTTCTGTTTTTGGTGCATTTTCGAAAAGCGCTGCTCGATTTTGTCCTTCTCCCTTTTTAACCCAATGACCGTAAACTCTGAATGCACAGCCATCGATAATCTATACAAAATTTCAAAAGATTAATTTAAAATTAAAATTATTATAAATATAAATAAAAATAGAATTAATATTGCGTTAATATATTAAAAAAAAAATAAAAACAAATTATATATATATGTTATACTTCTTGTACTGCATTTGTATTTTTAAATACCTTCCGCAAGATTTTTATTCTATAAGGGTCAGTACAAGCCACTTGAGTTGAAAGAGGTTCAGGCGTAGTGTGAAGTCGCTTAATACGTATCACTGCTCGAACACAAAGGATTGCTAATTGAAATCTTCTTCGCGCATTAAATGATTTTGCTTTTAATTCCTGTACAAATTAAAAATAATTAAATAGAATCTCAACATACATCTATATATTTATATAAATATTAATGATTAAAAATCAAATTTATTCAAATAATTATTTATCATATATTATTCCATTTATTATTAACCCTTTGACTACAAACAACACTTATAGGTATTCAACAAAAGTTGTTCTTTTAGTACGATTAGCATCTACAGGTGACCGATGCGACTCTCTTTTTTGTCATGTTTTGTTTCTGAGAGTTCCATAGTGAAAGGGTTAATTATTACTCGACCTTCTAATTGTTAACTCCAAATGAACATAATTTAAATACGTATAAAGTTATCATTTATTGAAATAAATTTATACGATTAATCTTTTAGCTATTAAACGCTACTATAGTGACTTTCAATACGATGGTGTTTATAAAAAATAAATTAAAATGCATAATCTGCATAGAGCATTCCTGTACAGAAATACAGTGCTGCGGAAAAAGTTGTGTGACAACTAAAAGATTAAATGCAAGCACATTGGGGACTGCTGCTAATTCGTCACAAGCTTTACGCATCAAAATTAGATAAACATAAACATGCATATTAATAGTATCATCAAGCTTCATTTATACTTATGTTAGTAATTATTATAACTTTCAATGTATTTGATTTTACCTCATAAAAACGTTTCAATCGTAATAAAAGTATCGTGCACTTAGAACAAAATTGTTAATTTTTAAATAAGAATAATGTAATCTGGGGGAATATATATATATGATTTTGACTTGAATTTTTATTATTTTCAAATGTAAATATAGAATTGTGTTATAATAAACAAAAAATATTAAGCGAATGTTATCGTAATTCGTAAAAGTATTTGATCTGTAATATTTATTGACATAAATGATTAAATGTTAATTATTTCACAGATTGTATACAAAAAAATGGAAATTAGAGAATTGATATTCGTGATCCCAAAACCAAAGTATAATAGACATAATTTACCAAAGCTAATTGAGATATCCTACTCAGACGTCGTGAGTTAGATGACAGTGAACGCTTTAGAGGGGCGATGTCTTGATCCCACAACTGTAATGTCAAAAACTCTTTACAACAAGAAGTAAGATTATACAAAATAAAAGATAACTTGATCTCGTTAATAAAAATTGCCATGTTATTTATCTTTTTAAATAACTTTCAAAAAGAAATATTAATTTCATTTTGTATGAACTGATTATATTTAATTCGTACCTGTAACCCTTTGTTAGTTTTGTCAAAAATGAAAATTAAATTCATATATACAGCAATTGGAATAGTTTTGTATAAAATAGTAAATACATAATGTAAATGATATGTACAACGATTACGTGGCAAGCTAATTGATTAAAAATAATCATTAAATACTAAAAACCGGATGTGTCATAAAAAGCTGTATAGTCTTTCATGTAAAACATCCAATAATTGTTAATGCTTTTTACACCACTTTCTAGGCTGGAAATATAAAATGATATATTGTGTAAACAAAGTTTTGTATACATTATAACATATTAGGATTTACTGTAGTGGATATAAAACAACGAGAAGAAAAAAATAAAAATAAAAATAAAAAAGAAAAAACAAAAAGTGAAAGCTGCGTTTTCTTAAATAATACCTTATTATGTAATCACAAAATAAACTACTAGAGCATTGATATAAGCATATATCTAAATGTGAAACAATATGATGCTTTTATATTATGTTAGAGGGAATATTTTTTTTTTTTGATAACATTATTTTAAGATATGGTACATGCATTATATATATTTGAACTTTTCTCTCTCTCTAATACGATTTATCAATTTCTTGTTATTAAAATACATACCACCGTATGGAAGAAAGAATGTTCCAATGCTTCTTTTATTGATATTCTTTTCTTTGGATCAACAACTAATAATTTTTTTATTAAATCTTTAGGAGCCTCTGCAAACATATATACAAAAGTAATATGAAAAATATTCAATATAAATAATAAGAATTTGATATAAAAATAAATAAAAAATAATTATGAATATATCGTATACCTGTAATGTCTGCCCATTCCGGAGATGTAAAAGAATACTTTCCTTCCATTATATTCCTTAGCATGACCATTTGTTTTCGATGCCAAAACGGTGGACAACCAACTAATAAGGTAAACATAATCACTCCACAAGCCCATCTAAGAAGACATAAATATTGGCTCGTAGACCCTTATTATGCATATAATAAAATCAATGGATCACAGTTATGGAATATCCTGCATATATTTCTTTTGGTTAGTTATTTGAAGAAAATATATGTCGGCTATATAGCGAAGTTATATAGCGAAGTTATATAGCGAATGATATTCTTTTAACTAATGACCAAAATTTAAATATTTCAAAATATATAATAATACTTACACATCAACCTCGAAACCATAACCTTCTGCATTTTCAAACATGTTGCATTTCAAGACTTCTGGCGCTAAATATCCTGGTGTTCCACACAGATCTATAAATAGAAAAACGTGTGTTGTATATATATAATATACATTAGTAAGAATAAATAAATATGTTTTTTTTTTGGACTTCGATAGACTCATCAAATATTAATTAATATAAATAAAACAAACCGGATAAAATATCTCCAGGCTTCAACATCCTCGCAAAACCAAAATCAGTTATTTTAACATTAAGGTTATCGTCGAGTAATATATTTTCTGGTTTCAAATCTCTATGAACTATACCCTGATTATGCACGTGTAAAACTCCTTCAAATACTTGTCTCATGATATAACGTGTTTTCTTTTCTGACAGTGTTACAACTGAGGTGAGGTAGTCGAATAATTCTCCGTTCTTACATAGCTCAAAAATTAAAAATATAAATGTGCTAGATTCGAATACATCATGTAGTTCAACTGAAAATTAAACAAAAATATTCAGATTTAGATAACAGTTTTTTATGCGATTGAAGTTAAATTTAGATAACAAACGTGTATATCATATTTCAACTAAATTTATATGACTAATATTAATTAATATTATTATTAATCTTCTTAGATACTTTTTTATATCACTATGATGGCTATATCGAATCATATTGAAAGAGAAAAAGAATATCATTAACCCTTTACATTATATGATTTAAAACTTGAAGGCGCGTGGCATATTTGGTGCAATATTTCATGATTCTTATTTTTGGCCTGTAAGATTTGCTACGAATAGTACTTGTGTTTTTAGTGTTTGAATGAGATAAAGCATATCACGAGTTTTATATGTTTTTATAGTGCAAGTAGTTAATAATAATAATTTTATTAAATATTCAAATGAATAAATATAATTAATAATGAAAAACCATCTTACTAATATAAGGGTGCCCAGCAACTTTACGCAAAATTTGTACTTCCTGTAAAGTAGCATCTTTCATGGTATGCCCCTCTGGAGATTCATTGCTAATATCTATAATTTTAGCAGCATATTCTATACCAGTTTCCTTTTCTATACATCTTCTTACAGTTGAAGATATCCCTCTATATAACATGAAAAGTTATTCAAATACATATCTGGTTATATGCTAAAGCACGCACACATGCGTATACAGATAGTAGAAAACAAATATTACTATCTTTAGAAATTCATCACACAACACATATATACATACATACATGCATGCATGCATGCGCGCGCGCACACACATACACACACACAAAATTACATAATGTACATATATGCTATTTTTTTTTACATAATAACATACATAAATATTTTTTAAGCAAAGAGTAAGTAATAATAACAATAATAATACTAAAAAGACAATGATTATGATAATAATGTGCGATAATGCTCATTTTTACTAGTATAGATATCAATTCTTTATGTTGAAATCACAATAGTATTATTGAAATTGAATAGGTATCATTAAATAAGCATTAAAAAACGATTAGGAAGGAGGATAGGGAGGAAGGGAGGAGGGAGTAAGAAAGGGTAGTGAAATAGTGTAATACAGTACAAACCTTCCAAGAATTTCTTTGGGCTCGTATTTCGCGTAAAATCCTTTAGCCGCGTCCTTGTCTGGCAAAAGGTCATCTCCTTCGTCTTTTGCCATTTTAAATTGTCAATTAATTTCATTTACACCATACAAAGAAGTGGTAATATCTGTTGTATTTTTGAAGAATATTGATAATGATAGAAGTAGTAACAAAACGGATGTTTCACTAAAAAATACAATTGTCATATCCACAAAATTATATTCTTTTATTAATCTGGTTGTACTAATAAAATAACTTCTACGACTTATAGCGATAGTTTGTATGATCACAAATAATATAACACAGAAATATAGCGTGCATACAGGTGTATACAAGGTAGATACGATCGTCAAAATGTATGCACAAAGTCGTACATACGTCCACGATACATTCGGACGAAAAAAACTTTCTACCAATGTGGTAACACTGTTATTTATGTAGTATTGTATAACCAATCCCTGTAAAGGAAAGGATCACCAATAAGATGAAAGCAACAAAGTTACTTTATTTCTTGTGCGCAAGATATTCTGCGCAGGCGGGATAATTTAAAACACCACATTTGCAAGTATAATTGTAAGTGGTTAATATCAGTTTCAGAATCTTTTGTAAATTAATTTAAATAAATTAATTTAGGTTTAATATTTTGCTAAATGAAAATTAATTTTAGGCTCGCTGATTGATAAAATATATATATATATATATATATAACTGATTTTGGTGGAATTAATTAATATTTATACATAAAAAAAAATAGAATTAAAATTTAAATTATTAACTATACTGTGTGTGTAATATATTTTATAATAGAATAGAAAAGTAGTCCTGAATTTTTAAGAATATTAAAAACACCTTACACCTTTCATTGCTTTTCTTAATTTCAAAATATCGTGTTTTGATAGAATAGTTAATACAAACATAGTCTATTGCCAAAAAAAGAGAATATCGTCTGCATTGTGATGTTTTTAATCATTTTCCCAACTAAATTAACAGTACATAGTATGCTACACATATATATAAAAGAACCGAATGCTATCATATACTATTCAATATCATACAGAACGAATTATTGGATTATTTAATATTAAAAGTAATAATAATATAAATTAATTTAATATATATTAATGTGTGTGTGTGTGTGTGGTTATTGGAAAAATATTATTTCAATAAAATATATACTTCATGATTGTAACATTTTAATGATATATTTTGATAGAATGTTGTTTCAAAATAAAAAATAGAAAAATAGCGGAGGATACTTTAGTTTTTAGTATACTCTATTTTTGGTTCAAAATTGTATGCGTATATTTACATACTTGCAATAACATTCTGCTTCAAACTAAGATTGTCATGCGACTTGAGCTCCCAACTATTTTCATTCGCATATCATCATATGTTGTTATTGTACAAGAATTGCAATAACATTTCTCTCTCTCTCTCTCTCCTTCTCTATAGATATATATTGCTATCATAAAATTTTATTATTGCATTGATAAAAATATTTACAAATAATTGATTATATATTATATATTATANTATATATATATATATATATATATATGTATGTATGTATGTAATGAAATATTGCAAAAGTTTATAATTAAGATGTTATTTTTTTGTTTACATAATAAGTTGAATTCTTATTAAGCTTATACTTCAAATTGATTTTGATATTTATGAGTCACGTAGCTGAGCAAGTAATGCTTCATTTTTACGACATTCAATGGTAAGTTGTCTAACAGCAACAACGTATTTACGTTGTTGTTCTATAAGTGTAACCAGTTGTTGACTAAGATCATCACGTCTATTCTTTTCATCAGCGCACCGTTTCTCAACCTGTGCAATAAGAGAGAAGCAACAAAAGCTTATAAGTATAAATCATTAAAACATGAAAAATCTAGGAATACGCTTTTATTAAACTATAACTAAATTAGTTTTTACATACGCACCATTGATTTGTTACGTTTAACTCCTGCAACGATAGCTTCAAATTGTTTTAAAAATTGTTTCTTGCCGCTTGTAGATGCCATTGCTCTATCATAAAAGTGTTAAAATAATTGTTTATTCTAAATGTAAATGTTGTTTTTTGGCAATTAATTTATTGTTTTAAAAATTGTGTTTATTGTAAGGTAATTTTAATTCAGATTTATTAACATTTCAGCTACGTTATTTATGCAATAAATATAATTTTAATTTAGTGGCGCTTAGTAACTATAAAGTTAATGTGTTTACTTACTCGCTATAATTATCTTGTATAGAGTTTAGCAAAGATAATTCTTTGCTCAAATAAAGTTTTGTATCGTCTAACGTATTATACAGCGTGTAATATTGTTTGGTCTCTTTGTGTTTAGCAGACACTATAATATAGAAACATTTAAGTAGTATTATAATGTTGAAATAATATTATTTTGAAATGATTTTATTAACCCTTTGACTTCTACGAATGCATATGTGCGTTTAATAATTTTTTCTTATATTTCAAGCAAAACACACATGCAAGTTCAAAATCATACTACGTGAAAAAGTATTCTATCCTTCGTGATTGTTTCAATTTAAAGCATTCTACAGTTAAAGGGTTAAAAATGATTTAAAATAATACAGTGAATGTTTAAGGTGGATCAAATAATTGCCAACCCTGATTGTAAAGTTCCATGAACCTTCTTTGATATTGTGTTAATTCAGATCGTCCTGGTACATCATCCAATTGTCTAGTTAAAGAAGCGATAGCTCTATTTTTTTTGGCTAATTGCAATCTTGCTCTTGTTACTATTTCTTTTTGTTCTTCATATTCTTTAAGCCTGTCTTCTTCTTCGGTCGGTAAAACATTATTAATTTCTTCTAGCATACTTCGAAGAAGAACAAGATCAGATTTGCATTGTTCTCGAAACTTTAGTTCTTGTTCTCTTAGATCATCGTGCACCAATAAAAGTTCTTCCAAGCGTTTATAAATGCTACAATATAAGGAAATTATCATGAGAGAAATAAATTTTTGTTTAAATAAAGAAGACATTACTTTTTTATACATTAATTATTCAATTTCTTTTATATATTTTTATTATGCTAATAAAAATGTGAATAAATTCTACCTATCATTTTCATTAATTCCTATTTCTTGTGCTATTTTAAACGAACGTTCAAGAAATTCTCTCTGTTTATAGAATTGATCTGTTCTATTGATTATCTCTGAAGTTTTATTCGACAAAACATCTCTTTCCTTTGTCAATTTGCGAATTCGTGTCTGTAGATTAGCCTTTTGTTTTTGTAAAGTTACTAGAGCACTGGACGTATTGGATGTACCATTTTCCTAAAATAATTTATAATATGTTAGAAGAATTATTAAGTTTTTAATTGTAGCATAACTTTTTGCAGCGCTATGTTTCTGTACAGCAATGCTCTACGTAGACTGTGCATGATTATAGTAATGCTCTAATTTGTTTTTGGTAGTATCAAAAGGCACTATAGCGGTATACCATTGAAAAAGATGATATCCGCTAAAGCCACTATAGTGACATTTATAGTAGCTAAAAGATTAATATTCTAAACAATTATATAAACAAGAGAAATAAGAAGTAAAGATAAGAAAAAGAAGATATGGATTTTCAATCTTATATTTTAATATCTATTACCTCTAGTTCAGAAATTGATTTCGTTGCATATTTTTCAGCTACTTTAGCAATTTCCTGCGCCTGCATCTCAAAAATATTTCCAACCACATTCACATTTAGACGATCCTTTAATAATGATAATACAATGTTAATTTTATATGATTGCATTAATGGTTTGTAAAAAAACGATTATCTCCGTAAAACTTTATGAGAGAGTTAATTATAAAAATATTATCAAATTTTATTTTTGTTTCGTTATCAAATATTTTCTTTACTCTTACATACCGAACTTTCTTCGATAACTGCCATTGATCCTGCAATTTCTTTTACAACTATCTGCGCAAAAGAAAAGAAAAATTTAGTTTAGCGAAATTTAAAAAGACAACTTATTCGTTAAATAATAATAATAATAATACATACATACTTTTTCATCGTTTGATACAGGAATATTGTTATCTTTTTTATTTTCTTGCAAAGTTGTCGTCGACTTTAAAGGAATAACTTCAGCATTTGTATTTTGGATATTTCCATACAAATTAGCTTCGTACTCTAAAAGAGTACCAAGAAATTGCGTAGCCTCGTCTTTCGCCAAACTATCTTTGTATTTGAATAATCGTCGAGGTTCATATAACCTCTGTAAAGCATTAAGACTAGAAAAATTGATTTCCTTTTTTTTTTATATTACAAACAGCAATAATAAATATTATCAGAAAGAAACTCTCACTTTAACCAATAAAATATTTTGCATCATATTTTTCTTAGCTGCAACTGCAATTCTATTTTCATCTTCCAAAAAGAAATGCTTTTTATTAAATTGATTAAGTGCAAAGGAACGCACAAATCCTGCCATTTCTTTTCTCATTTCCATAGAACGCTTTATCAACCACTGAAACGTTTGTAATACATTATGCATAATGTAGGTTTGTATGGTTGTTGAATTGTAATAAATAATTATACCTGAATGACTGGAAATATATGAATACAATCTAATCCTTGTATTTGATGAGGTTCTATATGGTACGGACATTTCATTTTTGGCAACATAGCAACAATTTTTTCGGTTAAAGATCTAGAAAGATTCAAATACGTGTATTCAAAAACATATATTGTTTTCTTAAATCTATAGCACGGTAATCTATTGCTCTTACTTACATCTTTTGACCGATTGTAAGATTTTCTCTAAACAGTAAGTCCACGTCTACATCAAAATTGCAAGATTCTATACACCACGTCATACCACCTATTACCTGTAATAATAATAAAATCCCAAAAAAGTAAGATATTATAAATAAAAATAAATTGTAACCTATTTCTTTTTTTTCTTCAGGTAAATAAAATATTAAAGTTAGCAATATTTTAATTAATCTTTTAGATACCGTACTAACTACTACTATAGTGGCATATTATTCAAATAAAAGAAAGCCATTATTATAATGGCATATATCGGTCAAAAAGATTACACCATGGTCTAATGTCTCGAACGCCATTGTACCATCATTGTAACGCCAATATAAAACCGATACAAAACCGACTATGTAATCCATATTTCATAGAGTACAAATAATAGAAATAACGAAAAATGTGAGCATGTTCCATTGAAAATAATAATACTGTATATCGAAGCTCTTCTCATTTATATGAATAAGATATTTAGTATGTATCATTTATATTTATATAAAGATAATTTGTTAGCTTGTAAAGTTATTTAATTGATATTTTGCTAGCTATTAATAATTTACACGTAAGAAGAAAAAACGAATTATTAGAAAAACTCTGTATAAGTTGTGATATATAATAAAAAAAAAAAGTATGAGCAAAGTTTTAAAGTTGTATGGAATACCTTATCAAAATTTGACAGGCCCTTTATTCTAGCTCTAAAATATCCAGCAGCCACAAGGAGATCAATAATTTCTTGTAATTTTTTTGTCTGTTCTTCATCTTCACGTATATCAGTCTAAAAACACAATATGCCATATTAATTGTTGATTGAAAAATGAACTATTTTTTGTTTTTGAAGTTATTTTGTAATAAAATTAATATGTATAATTCTTACTTCTGTCGATTCTAAACTTTTAGATGCCTTCCTTGATGTACCATTCCACATAGTTACTCTTGATTATAATAATATTCGTTTATTTGATTTATGCATAATAATATTTTGTTAATTAAAAATAATAAGCTCAGTGTTTGTATGTTAATGGCAAAAATTAAATAACACAGACCGTCCTATGATCCATAACAATAAATATGTACGATTCTAATTATGATTAGATGGCGCCACTATGCGTGAATTTCTAGTTAAACCCAAGCATCACTTTGACCAATAAATGAATTCGCGGGAAAAATGCAACATTTAAATTCATACTGTACACAATTCTTCATCTTTTTTCAATTCAATTAATATTTATTAAGACTATTATTATACTCTAATACTAATTAAGTTTATTATATACCTGTTTTGAATATTGCCCTAATAAATATGTAATAAATATTATATATAAGAGATAAATCCCCTAGTATATAAATAAACATTTATTGTCTATACGGCAGAAATAAAAAGAAAGAAGTAAACAAACAAAAGGCACAAGGCATCAAATTCAAACGCGTATGTAAAAACAAAAACAGAAATAAATAGACTTTCTTTAACGTTCCAAAAATATGACAGCAATGTATAAAAGATATACCCTTTGCAGCATTTCATTATATGGAATTATAAGTATTTAAAACGCTAAACTTCCAGCTAAAAAAAATATCGTACGTGTAAAACAAAGTGTGTACTTTAATTTAAAATAAATTTTAATAAAATTTGACTATTGCTAATATAAAAAATATTGACGAAAACGTTCTAAAGATAATACAGCTATGTGTGAAAGACTAATCCTTTGCAGAATTTCATTTTATGTAATT